GTTTTCTAGATGCCCTACCGGTTGTCCCAACTGAATAATCTTTTTACCCCCATTAATTGGAAACAACACCCCTAGCATGTACTATGTTCCCATATGTATTTGGCTTTACTTCAAAGTTCTATTTTCTCCTCTGTTCATCTGTCCACGCCAATATCCAAGTACTTTAATTATCATAACTTTGTAAAGTACTCCAGTATCTCAATGGACCACATCCTCAGCACTTCCTGTTTTAGAGTTTTCTTTGGATAAAGTACTTTCCATCCCGTTGCACCCACCGTGCCCTATCTTTAGGAAATAAAATCACCAGGTGTTTCCACGGAAAGTGAGGGATAGATATGATGATCTGGAAGGCAGGTCCCAGCACCTCGGACAGTCCCTGAGCACTGGCAAACCCTGCCAGGCTCGGTGACTCCCAGGGCTCCCTTCTCTGGGCCATCTGCCCATTTGCGGTTGCCAGGAATGGAGAGTGACCCAAGATCCCCTCAAACAGTGCAGCCTCCTCTTCCAGATCCAAGGCCCCCTCACACGGCACAGAGCCTCCTCTCCCAGACCCAAGGTCCCCTTCCACAGCACAGGGTCTCCTCTCCCGAACACAAGGTCCCCTTGAACAGCACAGGGCCTCTTTTCCCGAACCCCCTGGCCCCTCACACAGCACAGTCTCCTCTCCAGGCCCTTGGTGCACTTTCTTCCCCAAGGAGTAGAAAAGCAGCTCAGTCACTGCAGAGGCAGCCGCTGGTGACAAAGCCACTTTGCAATGCAGTGTGTGCCACCAGTTTGGAAGGCCAGGCCAGAGGCCTCCCCCCCACTCCTCCCAGGTCCTCTCTGCCATCCCATCTGCATAGCCACCCCAGACCAGCAACCAGGCCATTGTCACTGTGCAGCCCTAACCTCTTTTCCTTTCCAAACCACAATAAATAGGACCCATTTTCCAAATGAAACAAGTCACCTGGCCTCTCCCAAGTGCTCTCAAGCCTGCCCAGCCCTCACAGAGGTGTGGTGGACCATAAGGGACCAAGGGAGGAAAAGGGTGAAGCCCCAAGAACAGGGGTCAGAGGGAAAACTGCAATATCGAGCTAAAGGGACTCACTTAAGGCCCACTAAATGCAGGCAGGGAAGGCAGCCTTGCAGAGACCAGCAAGAGGGGACGGGGAGTGGGAGAGACCACAGGGGACAGCTGGGTGACAAGGCCGTCCATTCCATTCAGCAGCTCCAGGTTCTACTGCCAGACCCACAGGCAGGCCAGGCCACAAGAGGCTCAAACGTGCTGTGGAGGAGCAGTCTTTCCCTACACAAAGTAGGGCCCGGACCTGAGCGACCGCATGGAGCGGCAGCTGTGCAACCCAGCACGGAAGCATCAGGGCTGGGCCAGGATGTCTAGGGATTCTGGAATCAAGACTCCCATATTGGTTTCTTCTGTCAGCCTGCTTGTTCTGCTGTCAGGGTTACATGGGTTTTCTAAAAATAGCTTTCCATCTATTTCCAAGATTTCCAGTTGTTGTATTTACCAGGTATCCGTGCCTTGAAATAACTCACACATCTGAACCCAGAGCCTTTTTTAGTGATGGTAACCAAATAAAATCATCCCAACTTCTTTTTTCTGATAAGCTTTTTGCTTATTACTGTTTTCCCCACAACAACTAGCTATATTTCCAATTCACATTTCTACTTTTTTCCTACCAAATAAAATCATCCCAACTTCTTTTTTCTGATAAGCTTTTTGCTTATTACTGTTTTCCCTACAACAACTAGCTATATTTCCAATTCACATTTCTACTTTTTTCCCCCTACTTTCTGGGAAGTTGTTCCTTTTTGTCATTTGTTTTCACAGTTGTAAAACTCCAAGG